GTTTTCCCGGTGGCCAGCGTGGAGGGGAGACAGGGCATGGTTGTAGGTGCCCAGGGGCAGGCTCTGCTGCTCCTGCCCGTAAGGGGGAGGCACGTACTGAGCGGAGGCCCCCGCGTAGCCCTGGTGGGGGAGCGGGTGCTGCGCAGCGGCAGAGGAGGAGATGCTCCCCGAGTACACGGCGGGGGCACAGGGAGGGAAGCCGCCGCCCAGCTCCGCGTCCTGCCCCAGGGGGTAGGGGCCGTACGCCGGTCCGAAGCCCTGCGCGCTGTAGGTCGGGCCGCAGCCGGGGTGCGCGTAGGACACCCCCAGCCCGCCGTGGTGCTGGTAGGCGGCGGGCTGGGCCGGGGTGTGGTGATGGTGGCGGTGGGGGCTGATGGGCACCCCGCGGCCCGCCAGGAAGCGGTCCTCTCCGCTGCAGCTGCCGGCGCTGACGGCGCAGGGCTGGAAAGTTGTAATCCCGTGGTCGGGGTGGTAGGCGCGGGCGGCGCAGGCCCCCGCCTCGCCGCCGAGGACGGGGTACTCGAGGAAGGAGCTCATCCTCGCCGCGTCCCTCTGTCACGCCGCCACCGGGTCTTCAGCGTCCGGCGGGGCCGCGCCAACTTTCCCACTTCCTCCATGGGGCCGGCAGGAAAATGACACGAAGGCGCCGGCAGCGGGCAGGCACGTGGGGGGCGGCAGCCAATGGCTGCGGCGCCCGCGGGGCTTCCCCGGCTCCTGTCGCTGGTACAGCGCCGCATCGGGGGCATTTAAACGCCGAGCGCTCCGACCGAGCGGCACCGCGGGCAGGGAGGCGGCGGCCGTGGCCCCCAGGGGGTGGGGGGCGGGCCGGGCAGGGCTGTACACACACACCCCCGCCGCGGCAGCCCCGTGGGTCTCGTCCGCCAGCTGAGAGAAGAAGGCAGGAGAGACCTGGAGGCTGCGCCCGGCCCGCGGAGCCCACCGGCCGTCCCCTCCAGGGTGAGTGCTGCTGCCAGTGTGCCCCAGCATCACCCTGCTGTCGGCGCTGTCAAGCTTGCACCGGGCACCTCTGCTGTCCACCAACCCCGGCCAGGGCAGCGGCGGGGGTGGGGTGGGGTGGCTAGGGGAGGCGACTGGATCCGCGGCACGGGGCGAGGGATGGGGCGGAGAGAGGCAGAGACAGCGCTGAGAGCATCAGCCCTTGGAACGGGAATGAGAATGGGACCGTGGGATGCGGCTGGGGACTTCTACCGGGATGGGAATTGAGATAAGGAAAGGAATGAAGGTAAGGATAAGGTAGAGAATAGAGAATAGGCATGGGACCGAGGATACGGATGTGGATGGGATGTGGGTGGAGGTGGAGACGGTAATAGTGCCGGTGCCGAGGGGTCTCGCTGGTCCAGCCCCGCCGCAGTCCCAACGCGACGCCACGCCAAGAGTTAAAGGGGCTTGTCCAGCAGCATCACCAGGCGGCCGCGGACATTAGCATGGAAATTAGGCGCTTTTGGGACTGACGGCCATTGTGCTCTCCCAGGCTCACCGGCCACCCTCTAGCCCTCATCCCTTCTCCCCCCGCGCCTTCGCCGGGCTCACCCTCGCCAGCCTAGCGAAGGAGGAGCCGGGGGCAGGAGGACGAATGATTGGACGGGGGCCCGGGGGCTCCGCAGTCCATCTGCTGTGCTCCCGCAGCGCCGCTGCCGCCCGTCCGCCCTGGGACAGGGTGGGGGGACGGCTGTCCGGGGTGTCGCAGGTCGCAGCCCGAGTAGGCGACCCGGGACACGGGCAGAGGAGCGGAGGGAGGCGCAGAGCCCGCCGGCCCGGCCCCTTTGTCCCTGCGCTCCGCCACCCGGGTCGGCGGTAGGGAGAGATGGCAGATGGCCAGTGGCAGAGGTGGCCCCAGGACCCTCGGGAACCGCTCTGAGCATCGACTCCAACCCAGCCCTCCCCAACACCGTGGGGAGGTGGGTCAAAAAAATGGGTTCGTGGCCAGAGAAGGAGGGATGGCGGTGAGATGTAGGTTACGACCTCATATGCGTTTTACGTATGCGGAAAGGGAAAGGGGAGGTAAAGGCCGGGCATCCGTCTGTCCCAGCTCACCCAGCCGTCTGCAGGCAGAAAGGACGGGACCAAAAGTCTTCAAAAGAAGTTCTGCGAAACGTCAGCCTCGGAAAAAGATGGATGGAAAGTCATGTCCCCTGACACTAGCCCCAGAAGGGGCTACCCCCTCTATTTCTGCAGGTGCCGACTCTTACGTCCCTCTGTTCTCACGCTCGATCTTTGCTTGTTTTGAAATCCAAAAGGCTCTTCTACCACGCCACCACTCCCCGCTCACGAATACACACGTACACACCCACATACACACCCTCAAGCTCCTCCCTCCCGCACGAACTGCGACACAACAACACTAGGTGCAAAGCTCTCCTTCCTACTGCTATTAGGTCAGCCCTTATCCCACGGCATCTGCACGGCCGCTCTACTGTCAGCCAAAACCGACGGGCGCCTCTCCACCACGCATCATTCCCGGTGCCCTCAGTACGTCTATTTGTTCTGATTTACTACAGAGGCAGGGATGGTTAAGGGCCCTCTGGAAAGGTTCCGTTTCTTAAACTGCAGGGGGGTGGAGTGGAGGACAAGAGCAACAACACTCTAGAGGCATTTATGATATTATACTGCGCCAATTTTGGTTATGGTTGCAGCTGTAAACGCATTTATTTCATTCTTGTAAACCAGTTGTGATAAATACTGCACAAAGCAGAGAAAAAAAAAAAAACCACAGCGATTAGGATTGCTTACTAATAAAAGGGCTGACATCTTCTCAATGCTTGTTCCTTCAGCCAAGGGGAAAAAAAAATATTTTACTACAAGTAGATCCCTTTTACCCGTAAATTCCGATCAATCACTTTTCTTACAGTCTCCAGCATCCTGAAATCCTTTTTCCTCTGCCTTTTTGGTGCCATTGTCTCTTGTTGCATTGTTTCTCTGGCGGGGCTCTCGGGTTTTGCTGTCCGCACTAAGCATGGGGGCAACATCATGAGAAGGGTCGGAGCAGAGGAGGAACACACACCACACCCTCCGTCCTCCGCGGCCAGGCGAGGGGGAGCTACTGCCCCTTCCCCTTGCCCTCAGGCCATCCCGGCCCCTCCGCGGCTTCGCTCCGCGTTTCCTGCCACGGAACTGAGGCTGAGGGGGCGATCCCGGCTGTTTAGGCTTTTCCGTGGGAGTGTGCCCCCGCTGTGGCCCCATAGTTCACCCAGAGCCTCGGAGGCGGCTCCTGCTTGCTGAATTCCCCCATTTATTTAAATTGAGTTTGTGAAAAGTTTAAACTTTGTAGAATGTTTCCTTTTCCTTTTTATTTTCGTTTCTTTTTGTTTTACATCTCTGGGCTTTGTTTGAGGGCTTTTGGGGTTTTGTTTTATTGTTTGGGTTTGGGTTTTTTAGTTCGTTTTGATTTGGTTTTCTTTAAGTGTAGTCAGCATCCGGAAATCTGGGCACAAAAGAAACCCCAACCCTTACAGGAACGTTGCGGTCCAATTTAACCCAGTGGCAGGGGAGTGAAAATGCCCGTGAGGCTGCTCGCTTTCCGCAGGGACATGGCTGGAACAGAGGGAAGGAGGAGAACTGAGGCCGAGGTTTCACCGCGCCCGCAGCTCAGCCAAGCTGTTGTTTTAAAAGAGCAATAAAAGTGAATTATGACTAAACGCCTTCTCACTTAATGGTTTTAGACGGGGATCCCCAGCCTCGGCAAATACGTAAGAGGATTTTTATTTGTGAATGTGTTCCTGCAATTGATCTCTTTGATGACATTCTCATTCATAGAAAGAGTTTGATTTATGACTTTCGGAAGAATTGCGTTCAGCCCTTCCAGCTATAACCCACGCATCCCAGCTCCACAGCGTGTTACAGGGCTGGGAGACAGCGCTGCTCTCATGGACGGACAGCAGAGCCCCGTTCACAAACCCCCACCCAAGCCCCACTCGCTTGTGTAACGTGACCGCTCGGACTCACTCGCACTCACACGCACGCAAGGAGCCGCGAACGTCCCCGCACGGGATCCCCTGGCCCCGGAGAGGCAGAGCCCCGCTGGCATCTGTTGCTGCGGTTTAGCCCGAAGGACGGGGCTCACCCTCCGCTTTGGGGTTCGGTAACACCGGGGGGCAGGCAATTTGGTGGAGATTTCTGAAAGCCCGTCTAGCCGCCTCCAGCAGAAGAGCAGTGAGCCCGAGAAAATTGTAACTTTAAAGTCAGAGGATCCTCTTTTCGTTATCAGTCTTTCATCTCTCGAGAAGGCTTACATAGAAAAATATCTTCGGGTCTGCCCCTGCACCGCCCCCGAGAAGGATGGAGTGGAGAGGCCGGTTCCTCCCTAAATATTTTTTCTTTCCCCTGCGTTTCTGCCACCCTTTTGATTTCACAGGCACTAACTTCTCTATTTCCTCTCCTCCTAGGGCTGATTTCTTGGATTACTCAGCACCTGAGAAGTAACCAACCACATTATTTGTGAGCTCTGATATACGTTTTCTGAAATATCTTGCTGGCTGCTAAGCACTACTTTCTAGAAAACCAGGATTAATTAGAAAAAAATTAAAAGCACCTTTCCTTTCGTTCATGTAACAGGCTGATTTCTGCAGGAGACACTTACCCTATTGAGTCTCTCTTACGTTCTGCCTGTAGCAGAGAAAGTCTTCATTCATGCTTTTGTTACAGCTCAGGATTTCCAAGCTTTGTATCCTCACAGAGATAAGATGCCATATTTATACATTAAAAGGAGCAAATGTCTATCAAATCTGTGAACGGGTCTAATTTCTTTAGTTTGTTTTTCCTTCCCTTATGAGAATCCTTACAATAAAGGAAATGAACGATTTTTTCCTCTCTAATGAGTGTCCTAAATTGCCAAAAGGGAAGAGCTCGTTGTCAAAACGTTGGATTTTGATTATTAGTAAATTAATAGTGGAAGGGATGGGGAGAGATACCCGTCATGTTATCTGTCTTGAAAGCAGAGAGAAAAAGAGGAGAAAGAGAAAGAAAAAAGAGAAAGCTCCTTGTAGCAAACAAGAATTTATTCTACCAAAAATACTTATGACAACGCATCCTAATGTAATACAAAAATAAAAAGAAAGTGAAGATACATTCCTATATGATCACTTTCTCACAGACCTCATATATTGCTTTCATAGAAGGACCTAGAATGTGGCTAGGTTAAAATTGAACACAACTAAAACTTCATACGAAACGGCAAAATGGCATATCAGAGGGAAATAACAAACAGAAAACAGTGAAGAGGGAAAGGGAGGGGAAACATAAAATTAATTAACTGGGGGGAAAAAAAATCAAGAAAAATAAGGAGGAGAAAGCAGGACCCTTAGAGAGGACTTCTTTAATTTCTTAGTAATTCAGATGCTGCAAGTCAATTGTGGTGAGTGTGTCTGTAAAAAAGTCAAAACTGTCAGCAGAGATATCTACGGGACTGTCCAGAGATCCTGGCAAACTGGGGGAAACTGCATCTGAAAGCTGTAGGCAGGAATCTGTGGAGAAAACGTTAAAGTCCTGTAAAGAAGGGACATCTAGGGCCTCAGGACTGTCATTGTTCAGGCCAGCTGCACAGTTCTGGGCCATTGTTGAGAGGCAGTTTTGAACAGTGGGTGACTGATGCTGAAAATGTTTCAGATTTTTCTCATTGCTCGTTAAAGGCGAAACGGGGAAAGTTTGGGATTCGCCATTGTGCGCATTCTGCGCCTGCTGCTGGGAGAGGGCATTCTGCTGGAAAGCGTAGCCTTCCCGCTCCAGGAGAGCGCCGGAGACGTTGCTGAGGGCTTGCTCGAAGAGGGATTTCTCCTCCTCCTCCTCTTCTTCCTCGTCCACTGCTTTTTCAGGGTCCTCTAGGTTCTTAAATTTCCCCTCGCTGTTTTGATTCTCCTTGCACTGGGTCTGTCTCTTGTGCTTCATCCTCCTGTTCTGGAACCAGACTTTGACTTGTCTCTCAGTCAGATCCAGCAAGGCTGCAATCTCAACCCTCCTTGGTCTACAGAGATACTTGTTGAAATGAAATTCTTTCTCTAGCTCCAAAAGCTGGGTGTTGGTGTAAGCCGTCCTCAGGCGCCTAGATCCACCGCTACCGCTATCGGGGATTTCAAGGGGGTCTGTTAAAAAAGAAAGAAAAAAAAAAAAAAAAGAAAAACACCACCACCACACGCACCCCAAAGCATCACCGCCCGAACAGCGAAAGCAAAGGCATACGGACACACATACAAAACAGATAAATGCACGGATTGAATTTCAGCACCCCAGCTCATCGCATCCCGGGGGGGTGGGGGGGGAGTGCTCTCGCTGCATGTATGTGTCTATATCTATATGTCCATATAGCATAAAATAGCAACTGCAACAAAATGGCCGCCTTTGGATGCAGTAAACCCATTGTGTTGCACTGCTGAGCGCCCGGTGCTGCGTGCCCCTCGGCCACCTCCGCCAAATCGCTGCCTCCAGCTCCCCAACCTCCCCACACCAGAGCAAACTTTATATTAGCCATACCGCAATTTATAATTAATGCATCAGCTGCTTAGCTGAGCGGGAGCAATCTATCACTCTTCATTACTGTCAAATATCCTAACTCTAGGACGGCGAGACAAGAGAGGTCAGCTCCAACTCAAATAAATCATCCCGCATTAGGCAAGTTTGGGGAAAGTTTGGGTTTCCATCGAGCCCCGCCAGCTCGGTCTTTCCCGCCCGGCCACCCTCCGCCTCGTCCCCCCGCGAAGCCGGGGGGATGCGGGGAGCCAAAATAGCGGCCCGGCGGGGCTGGCAGCACGTCTTTGGACTGACCTTTGTGGCTGAGGCAGGCAGGTCCAGCGGCTGAGGCGGAGGCCGAAGCGGGCGGCAGCGCGGATCGCTTGGACGCCTTTTTCTCTTTCATCCAGGGGTACTCCGGGGGCGGCGGGGCGCCGGCGGGGCCCGGGCTGCCGCTGCGGCCGCGGGGGCTCGCCTTGGGGCGACCGCCGCCGCTGTGGCGAGGGTGGCTGCCGGGGTTCAGGCTGGGGATGGTCTGCTCGAAAGGAGGAGGAATCAGTGTCGAGTGTGAAAGCGTCGAGTTCTTGATTGATGAACTTTGAAATGTATCACCGACAGGGGGAAAAGATGTCAGGCACTCAGCAAGCGATGGCTGGCTATTGATAAAACCGATCTCTCGCTCAAATGCGAAATTCATGGCCTTCAACTGGCAGCCCCCGCGGAGAAAAAGTTCCCTCGGATTCAGGGGCCTCGGGGGGAGGGGAAGGCCCAGGAAAAAGGAGAGAGAGGAGAAAAAAAATATAGCATAGAAGATCGCTGGTGGGGTGTTTTTTTTCTAATTCACTGATTACAGCCGTATGGGGACCGTGCTACTATTAAACTATTGAATTCATGGAGACAAGGTTGAAATTGGACCGAATTGGCTGTCACATGATTGCCTCTGCCCAATGACAATTTGGGCTTTAATCAAAAGAAGCCACTGTCTGTTTGATTGATCCAAAAAAGTCGGGAAGGAACGCCTCATTGGGGGCCAGAAAGGCTTTATTTACACTTTTTTTTAAAAGGGGAAATGATATCTCGAGTATCTATCCCCTTGGCGTCCTAATCTGAAATGATCGGGGGTGGGGAGGAGGGTGCGTGTGCGTGGATATGTTTGTGAGAGAGGCTGCGAGAGTGTGTATGTGTGTGTGTGTGTGTGCGTGTGTGTGTGTGTGTGTGTGTGGCTGCTTGTCCTGCAGCCTGCTGCCTTCCTCGCATCCACCCGCACACTCTTCTCTCATTGTTTGGGACTGTCAGGAAAACGCTTTGCACCTCACAAATCATTTAAGCACCTCAGTCTGACGCCTTGAGTCATTAACAAAGTAATCCATTAATCTTCAAAGTTTTGACACCGTCAGGCCCCCGCATAAGAAGTTGCACCCAGGCAGGAGTCTGAAGCAGAGGGTCTTGATTTTTTCCTAGGAATAGCACTTTCTCCAAAACTAGTTTCTCCTTCGCGACTCAGCCTCAATGAGCTCCTTTGTAATTTTTGTTTGTTTGTTTGTTTGTTTGGCTCTGTGTTCTTGTGTTCTTGTTGATTTTTTTTATTTTTCTTTTTTCATTTTCTTCTTTTCCTCTCTTGGGTTTTTTTTTTTTTTTTTTTGGTCTTCTTTTTTGATGGCTATCGGGTGTACAGTATGGAGAACAATCGGTCGCCGGTGCTGAGCCATTGTTTATCAGGATATTCCTCAGCAACCTTGCTTCGAGGGGAAGAGTCACATAGGCAGCAACCCTGGCGCTTCATGACTTCCCTCTCCAGTTGGCGTCCCGGGATTGGACCGTAACACATAACCCTAGGAGAACCTCTCTGGGCGAGCCAAATCGCGAGGCTGCAAACGCGTCTAGCTGTTGCCTCTTAAAAAAAAGTATATATCCCGTGCCTTAGCTTGCAAACGATACTCCCGTCTGCTGGCATAATTTGCTTAATAACCGTAGTAGGCTGGGTCTGGTGAGTATTTTCGATTACCAGGAAATATATGGGCTGGTAGCGGGTTTGTTTTCAAGGGGCCAGACAGAGCGAAAATGCTGCGGGGTTCTGACTTGAGAGACGGTACTCTCCTCCGATGCTTGGCTCTTGCCGCCGCCTCCTCCAGTCACCCCTGCCAGGTTGAGGCAAGTCCCGAATTTGGATGCTTTTGGCATAATTTTCCAACCATTCTGAGGCGACAAGGAGTGTGACGACAATGATGGCCACAATCAGCAGTTCGATGAATCCTATGGTCACAGCCGCCCTAGACAGCCCGGACGGGGCTTGCTTGCCCGCGGAGCCCGGGGTGCACGGCGGGGTGGGGTGCGCCAGGGGCCGGGGGAAGGCGCTTCCGAGCCGCTCTCCGTGTCCTCCAGGAGCCAGGAAACCATCGCCAGCGCGATGAGATGCCGTCTCGCTTTATTTTCGGAGTTGCCAAACAAGGGTCGGCAACCGTCTTCGTAATTATATATTAAAAAAAAAAAAAAAAAGAAAAAAAAAAAAAAAGAATACGGGGGGGATGGAGGGGAAACAGAAAACAAGACCCAAAGCACTCAGTCTGTGTCCAGTCTGCACGAAGTGAATTTAAAAATCAGTTTTAAGTTAATGCATCCACAAGATATAGCATATCTGCGAAGGCATTGGAGAGAGGGGGAGGGGAGGGGCCGAGAGGCTTTAAATGGGCTTTTTGGTGGTTGCTTGTTTAAATAAAATATAGAACGAGACTTGTCATTTAATCCCTCAAAAGGGATGCCTTACAAATATCGATGCTGTTGGAAAATGCAAGGGGTTTAATTTTCTTGCTTTTAGTCCAAACAAAGCTCTGGTGGTGTCTGCCCGCGATCAATCTTGGCCGCCAAAAGGTTTGACAGCTACTGGCCCTTAAGAACACATTTAAAGCTTCTTGCTCTTTCCAAGATCAAATGTGGCCGTGAAAAGAGGCAGAGCAAGAAACGCAAGTAAACAAGGAAAAAAGCTGCTTTTAAAATATGCTGGCAGAGGACTGGGCTGCTTGTGGGAAAAGTCCGGTTTTATTTTGCTTCTTCATGCCTGCGTTTTCTTTTCTTTTCTCTGATTTTTTTTTTTTTTTTCTCCCTCTGGAAAATATTTGGATTAAGAGCAGTATGACAAATAATAAAGAGAGAGGTCTGGACTTTAACCAGGCTTTGTGAGTAAAACCTGTGTGGGTGTCTCTATTCTGCACATTTGTTTCTTCTGGTCAGTCTAATACAAAAACCACCTGGAACAAAACCTTTGCAGAGAGGACGCGAAATTCTTGGGAGAAACAATTACTTCTGCCTCCAGGGGCATCTTTTAATCGGACGAATCTTAAATGCAAAATTACAAATTCTTATTTGCAACCTATAATCTCTGAAGAGAAGATTGAATACGTTTTATGAAAAGAAGGGGGGGAAATCCCCTGTATTTTTCTTTATTCGGGGTGGGAGGGGAGCGAAACGCCAACTTCCTTCTATTTGAACATTTTCCTAAATGCAATTCGTGGTGCTAAAGGAACCACGCAGTAAGTATTGTGACTGTACCGTTACCTTTTGTTGCGTCTAACCTAACTGATCGGAGATCTGGAGGGGGGGAGGGACTGGAATTTTATACGGGCGCTCCTTTGAAACGAGCATTGTCTTGTAATGTTGCAAAAATTCTTCCTTCGCCTACAAAAGTAATAATCAGTCGCTCGTCTGTACTGGGTAATAATCAGGTTTCAGTGAAAAATATTAGCCTACATAGCCTTTCCGTCCGCGGTTACATGTCTATATATACAATAAACAGCACGGTATAAATCTATTTGCTATCCTTTTCTTTGACTGGGCATGCTTTATCTATTTATGCAGAAAAGCTCTATATAGATTCACGGATGCATGACAATGTTTCAGCATCAGGCAAGGATGGTTCTGGGAACAAGGTAAAGCCCAAAGATTAATAATATTTCAGCATGAGGCCAAAATGGCGACATTTTTTTTCTGTGCTCTAAAAGATACAGATGGTGAACAGCGTGCGTTATTATCTACACAGCATAGGAATATGTCTTTATAAACGTGCAGGGGTATATTTTACCTAGTCTATTAAGGTCCGTTTTGATTTATCTTTCAAGTTTCAATCTAAAAATTACGGACATTTTGCCTGAAAGGAAGAAAAATCAGATTTAAGCAAAAGCTTGCGGGTTTCTCCATTCTACCTCGAGCCGATTCGGTACGGGGACCCCTACGGATGCCGGTTTGGGGCCGGGACCGTCGCCCTTCTACAGTACCGTGTCCCCCTCCCCCGACACAAACACACACCGGCACACACATCCACAGCTCCCCGCGGGAAGAAACGGAACACAACGCTCCCCTCCCCCACACCTTCAGGCTGCCGTGAGAGGAAAGGCGGCTCAGCAAAAATGAAAAAATGAAATGAGCCCCAGTAAAATTAAAAAACAAACAAAAAAAAAAAATTCGGGAAAAAAAAAATAGGGAAAGGAAAAGGTAAAATCCACGTCTTAAAGGAAAAGGGAAAAGCGGCGGGGTTAGCCAGTGGAAGGAGCAGCAATGCACGCATCCACCCCAGCGTATTCGCGGTTCGGCCAGACCCTGCTCTCCCACCCTGCTCTCCCACCCTGCTCTCCCACCCCGCTCTCCCACCCTGCTCCCCAGGCTGGCGGGGTTCCGCAGCCTTCACCGCCCGGCTCAGTCCAGCGACAAGGAGGCCCCTCCGCGCCCGCACCCACGCGGGGCTTTATCCTGAGCGCCGGTGTCTGTGCTTCCCACACACGCTTGTACACCCACACTCACACCCACACCCACACCCCGGCTGTCCTCCCGGCGCTGCTCCGCGGCCGATGCCCCACAGGACCCCGCGGGGAGGGGGCGATCCGCGCCCGCCGGGCACCGCGCAGCGGGTGCGGGAGGAGGCGGCGGCCGCGGGCCCTTAAACCCTGCTGGAAGAAAGGGAAAAAAAAAAGAGACCGAGAGAAAGAGAGAGAGCGAGAGAGAGGGGAAAAGAAATATCTCTCTCCCTGCCTATGAAATGCTGAAAAGGCATGGCGGGGCCCTTCGGGTGAGCAGATCCTCGTGTAAGTTTACAGACGAGTTTCCTAGCTCCCCACGTCACGAAGGGCTCTTCATTCCCCTGCGCTGCAAATAACATGTTCTTAACTCTTTATTATTCAGAATAAAAACTTTATTTTTTTTTTTCCCAGAACGTGAGCAGCAAGGAATGTATAACTTTCAAAACAAATCTAGCCTTTTCAGCTTCACACACTTTTTGCCTAGCTGGATGTTACAAGCATAAAGTATTCAAACCGTGATCTTTTTTCCCAGATTTTATTGCATCATCATCATCATTATTATCACTATTTTTAATAAAAGGAGTTAATAGTTTCCTTTCAAATGATACTTCTAACACGTGCCGATATGCCATCTAATATATGGCCTCCTGAATATTCAGGGTACAGATTTTTTTATATATATATAAATATGAACAAATGGGGATAAATAAAATTTTAAACACTTAGAATATTCAATGTTTGTGAAAAAAAAATATAAATAAATCTGAATGTTCACCAGCATACACACATTGAAAGACTTACACGTATCAATAATTGTCCAGGAAGTCCCTGTCCAAGAGCTTTTGATGTCTTTCTTGCTATTTAAAAGAAGTGCAATAAAAAAAATTGCTTCCCCGTGGGATCAATCATGTACGAACAAATTCACATTTAAGAATTCCTTTTATAGAAAATTTGTTCATATACCCTGTTTTGATAAAAGTGTAGAAGGTAAAGTATAAAGCCTCTGCATACTCCCAAAGTGAGACACAAGGCTACAGTTCAAGAAGATAAATATCCACTAGTGAAACTATAGAGCAATTCAAGCAACAAATATTGCTACGTCACATAAACTAGAAAACGCTTTTACGAAAGGAAACAAAACAAACCAAAACGAACAAAAGAAACAAGAAGGGAAGAGGAGGGCACATGTTGGGGGGAGGAGAGAGAAGGGAAGGGATGAGTACTTTCCAAAACTTGGGGGCTTGCTGTTCCTCTTAGTGACTCCTGTCTCTTACAGATGAGTGAGTTTGGGCGCTTCCTGAATTCTTCCCTGAGAAGGATGGTGAGCAGTAAGGTCTGTGTATGTTGGATGTGGATCACAAGGTCCATGGTGGTGATTGTTGGCCATTGGCCCAGCCCCGCTGTAGTCCATGTTGGCAGAGGGAGGATGAGGGAGATGAGTTAGACCAAAGATGGAAGGCCCAGAATTGGTCATGGTCTCCACGTAGTTGCCCCCTACATAGACGGGGCTTCCCTGTATATGTGGATTCCCATAACCGTTGCCTTGAAGAGGATGAGTATCATATTCAGGTGTCACAGCTGCTGTCCCCGTGTATCTCTTTTGAGGAGGTGGGCAATTATTAAGAGGAGCAGTATACGATGCAGGGATGCCATAGGTGTTTTGATGAGGCTTGTTAAATGGTGGAGGCGACTGGGGCTCGTAGGGGACACTGTTTACTAAAGAATGCATAGAGTTTAGATATCCCCCAGCAGCTGGAGGGACGGGGCTTCTGCTTGGGGACTGTCCTCCTGAAGAGGTCATCATACCCTTTCCCTTTTGATCCTTTTTGTATTTCATTCTGCGGTTTTGAAACCAGATTTTGATCTGTCTTTCTGTTAGATTGAGCAAATTAGCCATTTCTACCCTTCGTGGCCTGCAAAGGTACCTATTGAAGTGGAACTCCTTTTCCAGTTCTACCAGCTGGGCACTTGTGTAAGCTGTACGGGCTCGCTTAGAGGAGGCTTGCCCTGGAGGGCTTTTATCACCAGCACAACTCTCACCTATGTAAATCACACAAAGAACACAATCAGCATGGCAAACCTATACATGGCAACATGAGAAAATGGCCAACAACACGAGCACCTGGAGACTTCAGGTCCCAAAGGCAAGATGGATGCCCATGTGTGCAACGAGTACTTCCCCAAGGCATGAGCTCAGTTGCACCAAGCTCCAAGCCTCAAAAGAGCTCCTTCATCTCATTAGTGTCACTGTATGACTACACTTGCTTCCCCTAAGAATGACAGCATCTAATGTATCTCGAGCTTGGTAAAGAGGAGCAAGGAAGGTTCAGGGAAACACAGTGAGGTTTAGAAATGCTGAAACTGAACCTGTGGCTCTGCTGATACAGTGGGATCAGAGTCTTCAAGAAATAGCTGTTCTCCATATATATACATATATATGTGTGTGTGTGTGTGTGTGTATATATGTATATGTATGTTGTATATTTTTATATATATACATCAGCTACAAGTACCTGAAAGCTAGATAGCTACAATACAAAATTTTAACATACAAATATAGAATTGTCAGTATAGTGGATTTTTTTATCATGTCTGATATATAGCATAAATATATGGTAGTGATTGGGAAGTATAACATATATATAAAGAAGAACATACAGTAGCTAGGCTTGCATATAGGCATTGAGATATATCTAAATCTTGCTGCTTTTTAATAAAATAAATACATTATATGGAATGTTGAAAACACCAGTGTTACTACAGCTTTAAAAAGCAGACCGGCAAAACATTTGGTAAAGTTTTGAACTCTATTTCCAAGGCACATTTAAGCAAAAAAGAGGAAGAAATCAGAATAAGCCTGACTTCTGGGCTTTGGAGCTAGCACTGGTGTTATTAGTTTGGATTTCCTTGAGTAATAAAAGTGTTGATATACACTTCCATCCCCCAAATAATGTTTTATGGGCTGAAGTTTATAGCACTCCTGAATGATTTTTGTTTACCAGGCTTGTAACTTTGCCAATCAGCTTATTAAAATAGGAAGAGGTTCTGACTGCATGCAGGGCATTGATCCTGCCTGCACATGATTATGAGCTATTTTATTCCCGTTACACTTCAGCAGAGATAGGTCACTGTCTTATTAATCTAACAGCACCATGCCAACAAAGTACTCGGGACAAGCCTCTGGCTTAAGGCCTGGGCTGCTCCACACTGACATGATTTACTGAAGGGGGGATTACCTAAGAAATGTGATAGATGCTGGAGGGTACAAGTGGTTCTGCCACTAGGAAGCAAAGACAGTTCAGATCCATTCTGCAAGGCTGGGAAAGTTTTGTAGGGGTGTTTTTTTCACTTGAGCTCTCCTCAGTGAATAAGCTGAGTGATGGCAAGCCCTTTCCAAAAGTTTCATGGGGTCAGCTTAGAGGGTGAAAAAGCCCCCACCCTCTCCTCCCTGAAGTGAAGGTGGGTAAGACTGCCCTCCTCCCCACCAGATGCATAGTCAGCCCAGGAATACCCAGGGAGAGGGGAAGCAAGTTTCATACCTGAACTGGAACTGCTGTTTTTCTGCTTTGTGTTTTGCCGAGACTCTTTCATCCATGGGAATATCTGTTTGGACACGGTGGGTGAGTTAAGAGCTGGGCTCTTGGTGGGGTTGGCCGGGGCAGGGTTGCTGCTGGCATTTTGAGATGGTGAGGTGGAGGTCGGAGGTGGAGGTTGTGACTGCTGGGCTGGAGGAGGCTGCGGTGGAGCCTGTGGGTCAGCAAGGCTGGGGGGCTGGAGAGTCTGGCTGGGAAGGGTCCTCATGCAACTCTCACTGATGTCATTGGCCTTGTGGTGGGACACAGAGCTGCCAGGGGACTGGAGGGAGCACGCGGGGCGGTGGTACTCAGTTTCCACAAGTGATGAAGATGGAGGATATTGCTGTTGACTCGCATTATAAGTGAAACCATTTGCTCCTTGGTAGGGGTAGGCACCATAGATTGCAGAGCTGTCGTAGTAGGTCGCTTTTTGCATTTCGTTGTTTCCCAATATTTATTTCGCAAACTGACAGGGTCTTGACACCCTTGGAGAATAACATTGGCACCCCTCTGTCACGTGGCGCTCTTCCTCCAATGGCCTCTCCGGGCAGACCTGGGGTGTGGGGAGAGCAGAGCAGGGTGAAGAAATGGTACAAATCCATCTTACTTTCAATAGCTAAGTGACATGAAAGCCATAAAAGAAAAAGTGGTCAGCAATATTTAGCAGCATGACTTGGCCTCAGGCGTGGAGCATTTCGATATAAAAGCTGCCTGGATTTACTGGCAGCTACAAATATGTGCTTTGCTGCACTGGGATAGAGGCTTTCTGGTTTGTTTTTTTATTATTATTTCTTTCTTGTTAAGGAACAGAGCAAGCGGGTTGATCGTTTATCACCAAGAGGCTGTTTTAATACCGGTCTCTGAGATAAGGGTGATTGAGGAATCGGTAATGCAAAGGGGCTGGGCTATTACTTCAGTCCAACTCTAAGATCAAACCCTCTCCTTTAAACCAGCATCGTTTTATTTTTAGCCTTTCTCCCCTGGTTACGGCTCTTCATAACAACTTCAAAGAAATATATGAGATGGTTCCTGTCTACGTGTAGCAGGGGGCAGGAGCAGTGTGGAAGGGTTTCCTACGCAGGGATATTTAAACACCCCGACCCCAAGTGATGGATTTGGGCTTGTCTATGAAATGCTCGATAGGAAAATAAACGAAGCCAGCACCTTCTCCCCTCCGTGCCCGCACACCACCCCGAGCCGCCCAGGTCACGCACCCTGGCAGCAGTGGTTTCTGCCCGGGCGAGCCCCGCCCGCCGCCCGCAGCGCTCCCTCTCGGTCCTGGAGCGCGGCTCGGGCCGTTCCACGGAGCCCCCGAGCCTGCCTCCCACTCGCGAGTGGGTCCGGCCTCAACTGCTCCCGGCGCCGCTCCAAGCCCCTCCAGAGAGGCCAGCAGGGGCGGTCGCTGGTTTGTTTTTTTCAGCAGTTATTTTCAAGACACTAACTTTTCGTGGAATCAGCCAGATCCTACCTGTTAAAACATGATGGATTGGGGGAAAAAAACACACCAGAAACCTGAAAAACCAGCGTTCATCTCCATGACCACGGCTTGAACTTTCCTTCCAACTTAGCGATAATAGGTTCTGTCTTGGAAACTGCTATGTAATTTGATGTATGAGGGTCACTTGGCTGGGGAGAGGGTGGACACAAACTCAGAGAATGCTTCTCCTGACCGAGCAAATCCCTTCCCCCCCGAATTTTTTTTTTTTTTTTTTTTTTTTTTTTTTTTTTTTTGTCACCCATCCTCCTTTATTTCTGGGATTCCCCCCCACGCCCGTCCAAATTAAAGTCTACTCGTCACCTGCATGAAAACAACCACTTAAAGAATCGCCCGTATTAATGAGAGAGGAGACCTGTGCATAACCTCCGATCTAGGAGGTATTTCCACACGCACTCACATTGTTCTCAGAAACTGAAGTGTGTTTCTCACCGTCCCCCTACCCCCTTGCTGGCAAATAACCACGTCTTTTCAGATCAGAAGGGCGTCTTTCTTTTTACCACTTTCCCTGTTCTTAAGCAGATGGATATTTCCCCCCCTCCCAAAACATCTAACGAGGACAAATGCTTAGGGGCGAAAAGCCTTACACAACACAAGCACCAAACGAGCTCATTCTACGCCTTTCAAGTTATACAAGTTCTTAGAAAACAGTATTCCCTTTGTTAGATCGTAACAAAATGAAGGTAACACACCTACGGCAGGGCGGTTACCTTGTTATTGCACTAATCAAGCTCTTTGGATGCTATTAAGCTAATAAGCCAATGGAGATCTGAGGCGCATACACAATTTCCAGCTCCTCTCCTTGCCTGTGCTATCGAGGCCTGGTGTGATTTTTCTCAATTCCTTTGAAAGAGAGACTATAGACACCACTACCAGAGGAGAAGGAGGAAACAATCAGCCAGCGGTGATTTCACAAAGGCACCCGCCTTTCATGACCGCGACACCAAATATTTCACCTTCCTTCGGCCGCTGCGAAGTTTTGTGGCGCTGGCAGGACGGGCAGCGCGGAGAGAGGATGCGGGGTGCGCTGCTCCCGTAGCTGCCGGCCTGCAGACAATAGACAACTTTACTTGGAAGGCAAAATATTATTGGAGCTTCGGCTGACTGCCAGCAAGTTAAAAAAAAAAAAAAATCAGATCCCGAGTTTGGGTTCGCCAAGTTAATCACTTCCTACAAAGTTACAGAGAAGCGGGGGTAACCTGAGGAGCGCCCGGTCATTCCAGGAGAATAAAGTGGGAATAGCGGGATTAAGAGCGACAACGATCCCGGCAGCATCCTAACGGGAAAGGGGAGAGGAGGTGGATTTACCACCCCAGCCGGTGCCTGGGATGGGAAGAGCTCTCCTCTCCCCTTCACAGACAAAAAGGCAGGTCTTGCAAACACAAATGGGCCCCCAGTCCTTCCAATGCCTGTTTGATCGGCTCCGCTCGGTTTGAGCAATACACGGCTCTTCACTTTACCAACTCCTCTCCCTCCACCCAGACAGCCCAGAAACAGCAGACGAAAATTGCTTGGGGAGGCAAGTCTGCCTGGTTTCCCCCACTCCCCACTTCAGCTCTCTCCTATCCTCTCCTTCCCTGCATTCCCCCCCCCCCCCACTTCCCAAGCACACCAGATCTTTACCCTGTAACTCCCAACCGAGCCCCAAACTCTGACTCTAGGACGGAAAACCAGGCAGTCCCCCTGAAAGATTTCCTGAAAGATAAAGACAAAGTTGAGGGAAGGTGGGGGGTGGGGGGAAGAGAGGAGAGAGAGCTGCCTGAACACGAAGTGTAAGGGTATCAGTCACTGCCTGGAAGGAAGCCCCAGCTTGTGAACTCTTCTTGAACCGACATTTAAGTCTACGGTCATAAATCACCGGGACATAAACTCCGCCATTCACGACTGATAGCAGCGTATTTGTGGCCTGCTTACCTTAACTTCTGACGACTGAGGCGGAAGCCAGCATGCTCTCTCTCCCTCTCTCTCTCTCTCCCCCTTTTTTTTTTTTTTTTTTTTTTTTTTGGAGGCGACACAACCCAGAGAGCAGGGGCTGCTCTCTGCCCCAACTCGATCCCTGTGGCCGCGGGGTGGGCACCGGCTCAGCTCATCTGCACCCGGCACCCCCCGGCCGAGAGGGGCGAGTCCTGCCCGCACGGGATGGGGTCGATTGCTCCGCACACCCGCCTACCCCTCTCCCCTGACGCTTCAAGATGCGCACCCTACCCCGACCCGGTCCGCGGCGTACCGTGCTCCCCCTGTGCGGGGCACGGAGGACGGGGATGTTTCCCAGGGCCGCTCTGGGAAGGGAAGGAGAAAGAGGGAAAGGGGGAGTGGGGGGGGGTGGTTAGTTGGAGCGGGGAAAATAGGAAAATATTAAAAAAAAAGGAAGGAAGAAAGAAAGGCGGCCGCCTGGGGAAGCATGGGCAGGGTGGGGGCTGGGGAGGGAGCGCAGGAGCACGGCAGTGAAGGAGTGCGGCCCCCCCGCACCCGGGCGTCACCGAAGTCCAGGAAAATTATGCTAATGAAGACAAACGGCGCTCACAAAGGGTCGCTCTCACCAGCCTCCAGGGTGCTGCTGTGGGGGTTTGAGTTTGTCCCTCTTACCGGTGGGCTTGGGGGGCAGCTGCAGAATAGCCCCTCTGCCGCTCCCCACGGCCGGGAGCCCCGCACAGCCCCGGCTGAATCCCGGGGAGGGAGCAAAGCCCGGAGAGCCGGGGCTGGGTCCGGAGAGCCAACCGAAGCCCACCAGGATCCCCGCTCTGGGCAATGCTTTCAGAGCCACGCTGGAAATCATTAGAGTTACTAATTATTAACTCATGCATGCGTGAGCGCACACACACACAGATGTACACACAGACACCCCCCTGCCCCCCTCAAATATCCCCAGCGCCCGGGACGGGCACCGAGGCGCTCACGCACGCACATGTGCTGCGCAGACGGGTCGGGGTGCCCGCAGCACCCCGTGGGGACGCGTGGGTGGGAGCCTCGCGTGGACGCGGGCCCGGCGCCTCACAGCTCGCTTTCGCCTTCTTTCTGCGGCACAGCTGAGGAAGGCTCTGGCCTCTTTCCTCAGCGCCACGGGGTTTAGGGGTGGTCGTGTCTCCCCAGTTTCCTGCAACAGAAACGCGGCAGCGAGCGTGCAACCGAGAACTTAAACAAAGTTGCAGATTCTGCCCGTCTGGCTGACGGTAACGGGCTCCGTGCGTTTAGCGGAGCCTGCGAATAAAATCTAGGTGTAAACTTGACGTTACTTCGTTAATTAAGGCATTATAAATATAACTAGTCCGTTTAAAACACGAGGGAACCCAGCGTCATCTTTAAACACAAACAAAGCGAGGGGGAAGCGAGAAATAAAAAGCACTATAAGGCTAGGGTGGCCTCTTACGCATACCAATGGTTTTTGTCATTTATGGCTATGCAAGATTTATGACTTCGTGCACCAAAGCTGTAAACAGAGCACTAAAACAGAAAACACTTGCTCCTTATGGCATAAGTGAGAAGGCACCACATGAAAGGGGAAGCGGCCAGCGTAGGAGGCGAGAAGAGGCAAAAATCCTTCGTATGCGTTTTGCTTCAAACAATCCTGTGAATGTTGCTTTGGAAGGGGAAAAAAAAAAAAAAAAAAAAAAAAAAAGTCTTTTTAGTCAATAATCAACCCCACACTTTCTTCTGAAACTGCTGATCTTCCGTTCGCCCACTTGCCCGGCCAAATACTGAGAGGCAGCGCTGCGCCCCGACGGAGTCCCCCGGACTGGCAAGGAGGATTTGGACAGGGAGAGAAAAGATGGGGATTGCCGAAACCTGCGGACACCGGGGAGCCTGCCGGTTTGGGGGGCCCCGCCGAAAGCCGGGCGAGTTTTTCCCTAAGAGCGCGTTTCAACTTGGGAGCCATCTCCAGCAGGATTTTCTGACTAAATGTCTGTATTTAAGAACGGGGAACGGGAAGCGGGGGGAGGTTTTTTTTTTTTAAAATGAAAGGATATGTAAGGACTTTAATCGTGAGAACCGAAGTGGTTCATAGGAATATGGAAGTGTTTCTTCCATTCATTTACTGCCTGCAAAGTGTATTTTGCGAG